CTTAATGTAGGATTCAAATTCGAGAGCTCTGGCCATTGCATCCTGCATGATAGAAGGGTGTGCTTGCTTCACTTGTATCTTCGGTTGTGGATTGTACAAGGCATCTACAAACTGATCCCTCAGCAACAACTTGAGGAGATCGGGTGGTGCAGTTGGGTAGGCCTTGTGTGCCATGCTTTCCAAGTCCTGTGCCAGTTCTTGTAGGCTCTCCCCTTTAGCACGGATTCTCGTCCTAAACCTAGCCCTGTGGACTTCCGACTGATTTTGGGTTCCGTACCTGAGTTCTAGAGCCGCTACCAGTGCTCTATAGTTGTGCCCGTCGTCTGCTGACAACTGTCCAAGTATTTCCAATGGTTGTCCTTTCAAGCTCGTTGCCAGATATACTGCTTTCTGATCCTCTGTCCATCCATTTGTCTCTGCCAGTAGCTCAAACTGTGCTCTATATGCTTCCCATCGAATTCCTGTGGCTTCCTTCGTACTAGACCACCCCTATTGCTGACACTCATGTCTGGAATGTGACTTCTGACAGGACTGAATATGTCTGCATTAGAGTTTAGGTGCAGGGTCTGGAAGGGGCTTTCCATTGTCTGAGGCTGATTAGGTCCATGGCTAATATATCCTCCTTGTGTAAAAGACAGTAAATCATCCTCTAAGGTATTTAATTCACTTTGAAATTTACTAAGCTTTTCCATTTGTACTTCTCGTTTCCTTTCTTGTTCCAGTTGCCACTGCTATAGTCTCTCTTCTTGTTCATTTTCTTTCTTCTCCAACCACTGCTGTAATTTCTCTTCTTGTTTCTTTTCTTTTTCCTCCAACAACTGCTGTAATCTCTCTTCTTGTTTATTTTCTTTCTCCTCCATCCACTGCTGTAATCTATCGTCTTTATTATTTTCTCGTTCTTCTTGCTTCTTTTGTTCTTGTATTGCTGCCATCAAATCTGCTAAGCTGTAGTTTGATTTGCCACTTCTTGCTTCCATCCCACTTCTGACACCAGTTTGTTACGTCTCTGGTCGTTTGTTAATTTCTGGTATAAATTCTTCCCGAGGAACTTCAGCGATACAAGTCCTTTCTTAAATAAAACTGGTTTATTCTTTCTCAATACAACTTTGCAATACACAGAAGTTCTAGTCACTTTAACTTAAACACACGCTATAATTCACAACGATTCACGCACTTTACTTCAGGTCACTACCGCTCACTTGACTCAATTATCTGTCTCTACATCTCTCTTCAATCTGCTATCTGCAATTATATCTTCGCTTTATATACAAAAATAGAGGGCGTCTGGCAAACACTAGAGTTGCCAGGAACAATCATGATTCTTCTAGAAACACATGACGTGTTACCAGAGTCACGTGA